ATATTGTTATTTTTTGTCTCACCCTTCCTTCACTTTCTCTTCTCTCATTTTTCTTGTCATGCCAATCCACCCACCCACCCACTTTTAGCACTGAGCTTGACTAGCTTAAGGAAAATTTATGGTTTTTTAAAAGCAGCAAAACACTTTCAGGAGGCACATTTTTTTTAAAAATCATCGTTCCATATATATCAAGTACTCCTGAAGCACCACACATAAAATGATAAAGAAATAACCTGCTTTCATTGAGTTACATCTTTATAAGTGCTTTCAGTTGTTTTTCTAAACTGTACATGCATTATCCCACAGGATTACGCAAAGGTGTCATTCACACTATACACATTATAAAATGGTGGGTAGAACTCATGTCTGATTTTGTTAAATGGTGTTTTGTTTTGTTTTTAAAAAATCCTGCTTTGAGAAGGACTACATTATCTTATTTAAAGAAATACATATTTTTTAAACAAGGAAGATGCTAGAATAACCTTGAATTTTTTTTGGGGGGAGGGGTATCTGTCAGATTGTTACTAGGCAGGCTGTTCCCTTGGCAACACAGCATCCATAAAAGAATTGGGAGCTATCTAGAACATCCTTGACTGTAAAAACGCTGAAATGCCAATGAAAATAGAGGCCTAGCTGACATTTGGACTATATACAACTCTATTATCACAAAAGAATACAAATAATGCTTCAATATGTGGAAGCTAGAGAGAAGAAATGGGGGGGGGAAGGTGGGAGGAATCTCTTGAAAATAGAAGAGATCAGTGGAGTAAAGGGACTGGGGGAAGGAGGAGGGAAGAGAAAGGGTAGATACTGGGGGACAATATTGATCAAATTATGTTGTTATAATATGTGCATGTATAAATAGGTAACGATGAATTCTACTATATGTATAATTATAATGCACCAATAAAAACATGACAAATGAAAAAAGCCTTGGATTTGTTTTTCACTTTATAGTTTACCAGATTCTGATACTGACAACAGTATACTGTAGCGAGGGGACTACCATTAATTCCACTTAAAGAACATAACTGTGATGAGCAGTCTAGCAGGGGTTGGGCTTTGCCTTTTCTTCCTCTTCCTCCTCCTTTTCCTTCTTATCACAAAAAAAGAAATGATGCCGTTTGAAAATGAAGAAATTATTTCTCAAAAATAATTAAAATAATTTAAAAATATCACTAATTTGAAACAGAAACGATCTTCAGCAAAACTAAAAGATATTTTGATCTTAATCACGATATATGTGATAGAGCTGCCAAATGCAGGAAAGGTCAAATAGGAAGATAACCTGAAAAGGATGCTTATATCTCCACATCTTTAAGTAATTAGATTAAAATAGATAGCATGATTTGGTGTGGGGAGGGATATCAGTTCCTTCTGAAACAATGGAAATGTGATGAGTGCCAACAATGTGGAACTCCCTAGACACTATTTGGTACCACAGTGTGGCAGGAGAGGCAAAGCCAAAGGAGGAAACAGTCTTGTACCACTTAAGGACACGACATATACTGAGAAATGAAATAGGTGAATTCATTATTGTGTGAACAACACAAAGTGTAATTTCACAAACCTAGTGGTATATTCAATCACTTCATGTGATCTTCTGTTGCAAATGAGAAACAATAAACACAAGATATCTGAGGCAGCCAATGATGTAACATGGCATACTGTTTCCAGTAAATGTTTTTAAAAATAAGGAGTACACTCTAAAATACAATAAAAAGTATAGTAAATATATAAACCATTAACATATTTTATCATTATGTTCTCTGCATAATTATATGTGCCATACTTTTATGTGACTGACAGCTCGGTAGGTTTGCTTGTATCAGCAATATCAGACATGTGAGTAATGCCTTGTGCTGTCAGTAGGCAGTAGGAATTCTTCAATTTTATTATAATTTATGGAACCACTAACATATATTTGGCAGGATGTTGACCAAAACACAGTTATATGGTACATGCCTACGTAGACATGCCACATTCATAAGAATTAGTCTGCAGAGGAGGCAGAAAAAAGGAAAAAGACTCCAAAGGTGAGTAATTGCAATTGCTATTCTTTGCTGTCTGAGGAAAGAATAAAAGGCTCTCAGACTACAATCCTGTCACAAGGAGCTTCACTGTAACACAGGGAAGATTGTATTAGTCCCAAATGCTGCCCTACCCTACCATATGAAATCACATCAAACAGATGAGCAAGAAAGAAATTTATCTCATTTAAAAGTAATAAATGAGGATAAACTTGCACAGCATTTATATACAAAAACACTCCCCCAAAAGGTAAAAAGGAACAGAAGAAATAATAGCAGATAAAACCCACTCAACTGAAAAAATGAATCCATCAAGTGTGTGAAAAATGTGACCAAATTATACTGCCGTACCTGATCTGAAAGAACTTAAGGAAACAGAGTTCATAGACACAGGTGATCAGAAAACCATGGCAAAACAAGAGGAAATGTAGCATTAACTAATAGAACTCAGAAAAGAAATGGAAAAGAAAAAACAATGCCATCCAGAAATAAGGCTATATTGTAAAAAAAAAAAAAAAAAAAAAAATAGAGCAGGCAAAATTTTTAAAAAGTCACAGAGATAAGGTGAAATAATTCTGTCATCTTGATAACTCATGTCTGAAAATACAACATTTTAAAGTATAAACATAGGGCTGGGGGTATAGCTCAGTGGTAGAGTACTTGTCTAGCATGTGCAAGGCCTTGGGTTTGACTCCCAGTACTGCAAAACAAACAATAATAAAAACATACGTAATATGAAAATATTTGTAGGTATAATGGCAAACACAAGAAATAGCAAGGGAATAATATAATAAACTGTGTGCAGTAGAGTAAAAGTAGAAGATATACCAATTATATATTACTTATAGCAGGGAGTCAACAGAAAACACCTAAATCAAACACATAATTCAAAGTTATAGTCAAGAAGAAAGCCACAAGTAGAATAAGCAAACTGCAGCAAACATGGATAATATATTAAATTGTAGTTCATAGTGCTGATCACTAGTTTACTTACCCAGTATCTTTCCTCTATCTCTCTTTCTATCAGAACACTTATTTTAGTTTATATATCCTTCTTTCCTCCACAGGATCATATACTTTAGGGCAGTGGTTCTTAACTAGGAGCAATTCTGTCCTCTAGGAGACATTTGGTAACGTGGAGACATTTTTGACTGACACAATTTGGGGGGATGCAACTGGCCTATAGGATAGAGGCTAGGGTGAAGAGACAGCTCTTGTCCAAAATCTTGTGTGATCTTTCAGGAGCAACTATAGGTAATTACAAAGGTTTTGCTTGTTAGTCTTTGATGGGGGAAAGCTGCTTGCTTTAGAGGACAACTAGCACATGCCAGTCTGGGAGAGTAGCAGTCAATGACACAGGACTGCCTGAGCTGGTTTTGCTTGGGTTAGATCATACCTCCCGCCTCCCTGGATCCCAGCCTAAGCACCTTCTTTCTGAGATCTCCTTATCAGGGTCCTTTACTGAGATACTTTTCTGCATTGGGATCTAATTCTGTTCTACTGCCAGCATTCCCACCTCACCCCACAAGGCCACAAAATGGTAGGGACCTTTGTTCATCACTCCTCAGCAATGACTCAATTCTTCTTGTCTGCACTGCATGATCATCTAATTGACTTGTGTCCCATGCTAGTTTACTGGGTGGGGGAGAATGTGACAGGAGGAGCTGATACTACTTTCCTTTTTGGTCTCTAGCTAACATTATCACGGTACATAAATAAAATCTTGATCATTACTCTCATTTTGGCTTCACTGTCTAAAGGAACCACCTCAACACCTCACAGTTTGGTAGAGATGCTGGTAAACACCTTCCAATGCACAGAACAGCCTCTCAAAATGAATTATCTGATTCAAAATATTAAAGAAAGCTGAGGCTTTGTGGGGGAACTGACCCAATCACCAACTCCAGGGTCAATAAGTTCATGGAATTATCCTTGAATGTTCTTTCAGGGGTGGAAAAATGACCAAGATGTCCCAATCATATCAAAGTGAATGATTTAATAGTCTATGGTCGGGGAGAATTGCCCTCAATTTTTGTTGCAATGATTACAAACAAGGAAATATGTAGGCCTTGACTGGCACTGACAGCTACCCTGTGAACACAAGGGTAAATAACTCTGGAATTAAGTTTACTCTATGCTGGAGTAAAGAGAGAGACGGACAACCTAACCCATGAGGACATTATGGCTGAAGCCAACACCACCTTTGGATATTCAGAAATGTATAATAATAAATCTTCTTATGGTTTAATCCAGTTCCAGTTGGAGTTTTCTTACTTGCCAATGAAAAATAGTTAAAGATAAAAAAGCAATGAAATTAGAAAGCATACCCAAAAGCAAACATACATTATATATATATATATGTGTGTATATATATATATATATGTATGTATATATACATTTCATTTAATATCTTAGTGTTATTTAATATTGAAAGTTTAGTGGTTTAGACAAAGGGGAATGAAGGGAACGGAGCGGGGACAGAAATAGGAACGACAGTGCAATGAATCTGACATAACTTTGCTATGTACATACATGAATACATCACGGTAAATCTCAACATCGAGTACATTCACAAGACTGGGATCCTAATTACAGTAAGATATATTCTGTGCTTGTGTAACTATATCAAAATAGATTATACTGTCATGTATAACTAAAAAAACAAATACAAGGTGGGATTATGGCTTGATGGTAGAGTGATCAACTAGCACGTTGTGAGACACTGGGTTTGATCCTTTATTTAAAAATAAATAAATAAAACCCAAAGGTATTGTGTCTATCTACAACTAAAAAAAATATTAAAAAACAAAATAAAACTAAAACAAAACAAATGCAATTTTAAAAAAAGAAAAAGTTTCCCTCATTCTTCCTATCTTAAAAGCTAAAGAGAAAGAGATAAAGAACAAAAATAAAAAATAATTTACCAGTTAAGGCATTCTCAGATTTGGGAAAGAAAATATTTTAAATCAATTCCATTTAAAAAATGAAAGTTTACTTATCCCCGTAATAAGCACATTAACCACATTTTCACATACAGAAAACTTAGGTACATTCAACTGTTTACAAAACAAATCTCCATATAACACACTTACATTCATGTGGAGTATATGAACTTATTAACTTCAATAGATTCACAATTTTTGCATTTGGTACTTATTTTCTAAAATTCAGTTCATAGATAATGTTTTCAGGTTAGAACAATCTCTTCTGAAAGGTTATAATTATTGTATTCATATAATGAGAATCCAACAATTCTTTAGCTTTCATCTAAAGCTTTAGCAATCTTAGTTACATAACTTGCAATGCAGAGTTGTCTTAGCAGGTTGTACTGTTTGGTTTACAGTTTAAGTCACTTAAAATAGTTCACAATTATTTGTGCAGCAAGGGAAAAAAGCACCAAGGATAATAATTTTTTCTCACATCCTAGGTAAAATCACAGCACGATGATCTCATTTTCCCTTTAAAATCTAACTATTTGTAAAGAGCATTTATTTCAAATGTGCAATCTTTAAACTTTCTCAGTGACATCCACAGGTACAACCAACATATGAATGGAAATGATAAAAAAGAGACTCTGTTCATAATACCTACTAACTTAATACAATTCAATTTAACATTGAGAATTTCTATTCTTGAGCTCTTTAGTTCTAAAAATAATTTCAAAATAAGCATAATACTTATAAATTTCTCAGCTATAGATCTTGAAAAGAAAATCTAAAGTTGCCTTTCCTGCCAGTATATAAAACAGAAATTTTCTTGATGAACAAAGCATCTTTTATGGTAAGGACATACATAAAGAAAATAGTTTCTACAAATTAATATAAAAACTTATGTGCATAAAGATGAAATTCTCCCAATTGTATATGTATTGTAACATTTTAAATAACATAATAAAAAATTCAAAGCACAGCTTGAAAAAAATATCCCATGTGTTAATACTCCAGTCAATATATATGTCACTAACAATTAAGAGAAAATTTCTAATGTAAATGATCAATGCGATCTCTTTGGAAATACATTCTTCAAAAAGTTCCATTATGTAATCTTGTCTGTCAAATTTCAACCCAAGTTTTTTTTTTTTTTTTTTTTTTTTTACACTAACATGTAATTCAGTGAGAACACAAGTATGGACAGAGGCCACTCATCAGACTCTTTACTTTGGTACAGGCCAGCTGAGCTTTTATGTTCTTTTTCTTTACCACAGGCACATGGTAAACATCATATTAATAACAACAGACATTTATGACAATTTTTGCTACTCACAGAATGCTAATAAACAGTATTTTAAACATTCCCAGTTCATAACAAAAATACCTTACCTAAATATAAACAAAGAACTCTAGATTTAAAACATTTTTAAACAAATACAGAGATGTTTAAGAAAAAACATAAATTACTTGCTTTGATAGCTTTCAGTCAAGGCTTATGACATTTCTTTTTCTATACAACAAGTGACTTTTCTAAGTATAAGAAGTTCCAGTTTTTGCTAAGATTTCATTTCTTTTTCCCAGTGTTTTTTTTGTGTTCATGCACTTCTGTTGTGCTATTTACATTTACACTCTTTTTCCGAGATGAGGTATTAGCAACAACTGCATTAGAAGGTCCACTGTTAGCTACACAAAAAGAGAAAAACTAATGTTTAGATTTAAACAAGCAATCCACATTTAAATAATACAGCTGAGTAATAATAGACTGTCATCATTGTGATGTAAATGAAGCATCAACATTTAATATAGCATTTTTAACCTTTTACTTTTTAAGAATTCAACAAAAGTATAGAAAAGAAATAACAATGGGCCCTGTTCACAAAATAAGTTTCTCATTTCACTCTGTGTTATTCCTGGGAGACTAATTCACTGCCCTCATTTTTAGGTACTATGTATTGCACTTAATGACTTAACTTTATACTTGTGGTCTAGGACTTTTCCTTTTGTTCCAGATATGTAAATATATATCTAAATGCCTTGTGGAAGTCTCTTTTAGATATTGGATAGGAAACATAAAACTAACATGCTTAACAGTAAATTCATCATTTCTCCTATACAATTCTATTTCCTCCTATATCTCTCATTTCATCACTATACATATACAGCTCAAAGTTTGAAAACCAGAAACATTCTTGGCTTGGGAAACATTTTTCCTTATCTGAACCAACATGAAGGTCTAATGAGTCATCCAAAGCTATTCTAGGTGGAGTTACACTTCTTTGAGAGGGCATGCTCCTGTCTGATTAATATTTCTGTAGATAACAAGTATACACTCAATGCAAAATTTGAAAAACAAGTACTTAAAAGACATCGAAGAACGAATAAAATTAGGGAGTTACTGGAGAATAATCAATACTTATAAGAGAAGAAAAAAACAATGGGATGAATTTCCCCTTTTTAGTGTTCAGCCTGAGAAAAGGACCCAGTCTATACCATATAGAATGGCTAAAAATCTAACATAAAACCCAATTGTACTAGCATGAAGAACCAGATAACAAGTACTATGAGAATTATAGCTGACAGAAAGTAAGGTGAGAAATCTTAGGCAAGGAGAGACTGTAATTCTAAGTATGAACCCTGATCAATCTATGGCATGAGCAGAGTAAGCTCTAAGCTGCCCTGTAGGTTAAAAAAAAGAGAAATGAAATTTGAGCTATCACCTACTTCAAGGGACAAAGTTTTGCAATCCGAGTTCAAATTAACTCTTTGTTTAATAAAACAAACAAACAAAAACATTTTTTGGAAGAACATAACTGAAATAATAGAATCCAAAGTTTTATAACATATCATTCATAAGGTCTAAGTTATAATGCAAAATTAGTCATTATGCTAAGAAACATGAAAATGTCTATCTCCTCAAGAATGAGCAAAATGATAAAGACCAATACTGAGAGAAGTCTTTTATAGACAAGATTTTTAAAGTAGCAAATTTAATTATGTTCTAGGTCATAGGAAAATAAGTTAACGTGATGTCTCTGCAAAACCAAAACAAAATACCTATAAAGAAGAATCAAATGTTTCAAACTAAATAAATAAAATATCTTAAAAACTGGTTGGGTGCTGGGAGCAATGACACATGCCTATAATCCCAACTATCTGGGAGGCTGAGGCAGGCAGATCCCAAGTTTGAGCTCAGCCTGAAACTTAGTGAGACACTGTCTCAAAAAGTAAAAGGACTGGGCTGTAGCTCAGTGGTAGAGTGTTTGACTAGCATGTGTAACATCCTGGTTCAATACCCGGGGGTATTGCAAACAAAACAAAATAAAACTTGGGTGGGTTTAGCGGCAAACTGGAGAAGGCCCGTAAAAGTAAATACCAGCACCAATCAGGATTACTACCAGACAAACAACCAAAGAAAAGGAAAGACAAGCAAACTGCCAAAAACCAAAGTGAAAAAGAAACCACTAGAAGCCAAACAGAAAAATTAAGCACTGCATACATGGAACAATTCAGATTAACTAAAACTTCGTATCAGAAACAATGGAACCAGAAGACAATGGAACAATATCTTTAAAGTGCTCAGAGAAAAACAAGTTTCTACACAGAATTCTTTATTCACCAAAATTACCTTGCAAGAATGGAGAATAAAGACATTTTTCAGTCACAGTAAAATGAACAGAATGTGCTGTCAACAGGCTGGTAGTACAAAAAATGCTAAAGAGTTTCATGCTGAAGGTAAATGATACCAGATGGAAACATAACACTTCAAGAAAGTAATGAAGAGTATCAAACATGGCAAATATGTGGAAAAAATATGACATTTCTTTAAAATATGACTATTTAAAGCAAGTAATATTATATTTCTGTATAAATAATATATATAGAAATAACACATAAACATATGGAAAACAATGTACAAAGGGTAGAAGGAGAAGAAGGTAAAGGAACCTGGACATTTGAACTCTAAGTAGATTTTGAAATGTTAAGAATATATATTTAGAACAATCAATAAAATAATAATACAAAAAACAGGGTGATGGTGCACAACTGTCATCCCAGCAGCTCATAAGGATGAGGCAAGAGGATCACAAGTTCAAAGCCAGCCTCATCAACTTGGCAAGACTTTGTTTCGAAATAAAAAATAAAAAGGGCAGGGGATGTGGCTTAGTGGCTAAGTGCCCATGGGTTCAATCACAAGTACCAAAATAAATGAATAAATAATAATAGTAACAATAATAATACAAAAAATGTAGCAAAAAGCCAATGGATATATTAAAATGCAATTGTGAAAAATATTGAATTAATACAAAATAAAAAGGAAAGAATAAAGGAATAGGGGCTGGGGTGGTAGCTCAGTGGTAGAGCGCTTGCCAAGCATGTGTGAGTCACTGGGTTTGATCCTCAGCACCACATAAACATAAATAAATAAAATAAAGGTATTATAAAAAGTGATTTAAAAAAGAATAAAGGAATAAAAATTCTAAGGAATAAACAGAAAATATAATAAAGTAGTTGACCTAAACCCAAACATTAGTAATTACATTAAATGTTAATGAACTATAAACACTGCAACTTTAAGGCAGATACTGTTAGAATGTCAAATCTATGTTTTAAAATGTCAAATACATGAGTATGCAAAAATACACTTCTAATATAAAACTGATTATATACAGTAAGCCTAGGACACCTGGAATATAGCTATATTCATTTCAGATAAAATAAGCTTTAAGATAAAGCATTACTAGAAATGAAAGAGAAATTTTGTTACAATAAAGAGTCAAATACATTAGAAAGATGTAATAATCAAATATGTATGCAATTATTAACAGAGCTCCAAAATACGAAGACAAAATTTACCAAATTGAAGAAAAACAAGATAATTCCACAATTATGAGTGGAGATTGCTTAGAACACCTCTTTTCCTTGTCCCAACATCCTGCCAAGATCTACATCTGACATTATCTACAACCTTGATCTAATGAGTGATAAACCACATCTATTAAAATCAATGAATCATACAATGACTATTTTTTAAAGTACACTTAATACAAGATAATCCAAATGTTAAGTCATAAAAGAAAGCTCACATTTAAAGAACTGAAACCATACAGTATATGCTTTGTAACTTAAATGAAATTTAAAAAGAAATTGGTAAAAAGATATCTAAAAAACACCCAAATTAGAAGTTGACCAATAGACTTCATAACCACTTTTAGGCAATGCAATTAAAGTGCTCAGAAGAAAACGTAACAGCTTTAAATGTTCATATAACAAGAGAAGAAATACTTAATAGCTAATGACCCCAGAAACTAGAAAAAGAGCATAAAAATAAACCAAAGTAAGTAGAATGAAGTAGATAAACAGCAGAAATCATTTAATTATAAAACAAACAGGCATATAATAAGGTAAAGTTGGTCCCTTGAAAAGGTAAAAAATATTGCTAAATTTCTGCAAGAATGATCAAGAACAAAAGAGAACACAAATTACCAGTGGACTAACAACAGGTTATGGTAATAATCTCATTCATTAAAAGAATCATAAAAATCAAAGTTGACAATGAAGACAAAATGAACATATTCCCTGAAAAATACAAGGTACCAAAACTGCCATAAAAATGAAATGGAAAATTAATTCTACCAAACATTTAAGGAAGAAATAACAATCTTTCAAAAACTCATTCAGAAATTAAAAAAGGAAGAAATATTTCTTAAATCATTTTATGAAGCTAGAATTACCCTTGATAACAAAATATGAAAAGAACATCACAAAAAAAGGAAAACTACAGATCAAGATACTTCAAAAATGCAGATGCAAAAATCCTTAAAATTAAATTAACTCCAATTCATTTTTGTGGCAGTTCTGGGGTATGCATGGATGTGTGAGTGTGAGTTTGGGTGATACATCACGACCAAGTAGAATTTGTCTTAGGAACATAAGGTTAGCTTAATGCTTGAAAAGTGAAATATAACTCATATAACAACACTTTAACTTTATTATCTGAAAATATTTATGTAGTAATAGTTACAGTGAAGAAGACAATTATTCAGTATCTTAAACTACAATTTTATATCCTGATCTGTTAAAATGTACAAGGTTCAAGTCTACTTAAGATATTGACCCTAATTTATAAGGCCGTGTAATCTGAGTAAGCTATAATCAAGTATAAAAGAACAAATCAGCAGTACAGAGTATCACTGAAGTTCTTGTTTTCAGAGTTATAAATACATTATCAGTAGAGGTTGTTTCGTTAGGTCTTGAAGGATGAGAAAGAATTAAGAATCTTAGAAGAAAAAATGGAATTTGGGCAGAAGTAAAGAGTTTGGCTACTGTAAAATAACAGTAATAGAAGCTACCATTTTAGTGAGGGCTTAAAATGTGTACTAAGTACTTTCTATGTTGTTGCATTCATTTCTGATACTTCTTAAATTTTTTTGGTACAGGGGATTGAACCCAAGGGTGCTTAACCACTGAGCCAAATCTTTAGCTGCTTTTTAAATTTTGAGACTGGGTCTAAGTTACTTAGGGCTTTGGTAAATTGCTGAGGCTGGCTTGATTCTCTTGCCTCAGACTCCCAAACTGCTGGGATTATAGGCCCGCATCACAATGCCTGGCTTCTGACAACTTTTAAAGATGTACCAAGAGGTTATATAACTTACCAAAAGTTTATATTAATAAGTAGCAAAGCTGAGATTTTAATGTAGGTTCCCTGACTCTTAAGCACAAATTCTTAAGTCAAAAAAATATTTGAAAGGACTAATAGGAGGAAAAGAACAAAAATATCTTCAAAAGCACTGGAGCTATTTCTGAAAACAAAACAAAACAAAAGGATAAGAAAAAATGAACACGGTTAGAATTTCACTGGATTAGAAAAGCAGAAAAAAGAAGAATCATCCAACAGCAAAGTTTCAACTACAAAGTACATCATATAAAGCATTACTCTTTTGAATCAGAGAAATGAAAAGAACACCAAGATAGAGTTATATCTTGCAAGTCAAAGTAAGAGAGCATTTACAGAGTATCAACACTACAATCAAATGTGCCAAGTTAAAATAGAAAAATGCTTATAAAATATAGCTGAATTTAGTAGTTATATCATCAGACTGAGAACAGAGAATTAAAATACATTAATTAACAGAGAATTAAAGCTACCATTTTAGTGAGGGCAACAAGAATAAAAATTTTTGTAAAATATAGAATGATGCCTTAGGCTCAACAGAAAAGCAAAAGAATAGAGTCCATGAATTAGCTTGAAGAGAAGTGTGAATATGAAATATATTTTATTAAATTACGCATGGGGAGGGGCAAATGATTAACAGATACAAAAAGGAGAGGGCAGACCTAACAGACTGTATAGACTTCTTTAAAAAATATTTTCTTTAGTTGTCTATGGACCTTAATTTTACTTATTTATTTATATACAGTGCTGAGAATTGAACCCAGTGTCTCATACATGCTAGGCAAGCATTCTAAACACTGAGCTAGGACCCCAGCCCCAGGACTATATATATTTTGAACTTAGGATAGAATCATTACTCTAGAAAGCACTAGAAAAGTGCAATTATCATACTGAAAATAGATTTCACATTTAAAAAGCAAACTATTATCAGTACCCTAATTGCTATGCAGAATTCACAAACTCACAGGCACATTTCTAACCTGGTTTGCTGCTTGCTTTAGTACTCTTTAAGGTAGCCGGTGGAGTTGGGAGGATCTTTGCAGGTGTGTATGTATTTAAAGATACTTTTCTTCTCATTGCTGGACTGGTACGTGAGGCAGAAAAGACTGAAAAAATTAAACAAACATAATAATTTAATAATTTCCTGTAAGTTCTACATTAACATTATAGAAATTTTTTTACAACATAATTTAGTGACTCTAAAATATGTACAATGTTGAAAAAATAAAAGGCAAGGTTTGGAGAGTAAATTCAGGAAATCATCTTTCACATAAAAAGGCAATTCTCTCATAGTCTTACCCAAATCATTGATCTGTTTGTATTATAAGCATTTTAACAGTATACACCAAAAGAATGTCAACAAGAATAGTGCAGCAGACTTAATTTTGTTCTGCCCTGATAGAAAGTGATATACTTAAGGGATGACAGAAAGTTGATGGAACAGAGTCAGTACTTTTTAAGACAAAAAATCTCAATAATAAATGGGAATTTAAGAATGATTCATTTACAAACACAATGGTCTACTACACTATTATATTTAAGAATAAAATAACTAGATATAAATAGTTAAATAAATCACATTGTTTTCTTTATTACCCAGCTAAGATTTACCTTCACAAAGAGGAGGAAATTTTAAAGTTATCCTCCATATCCCTACTTTCTAATAAAGATGGAGCGACTAAGAAGTGCAAAAAAGAAAAGTAGGGAGAACTCTTCAGGATCAAATCCTTCAGGGAAGGACAGCCCAAAGTGGGTGTGCAGGTGGCAAGGTGACTGTTATAAGGTTCTGGCTTCTAAACAAAGGAAAAAGATTATAAGTCAGATTTGCAATTTTGCAGTTTAGGGGGAAGTCCAGACAGCAATACTCAGTGTGCTTTTGAATATCAAGATGTGGACCAGTTATGGCAAATGTGGCACTGGTGGTTGAGACCCATGTTGAAATGTCACCGATAGTGAAAAAGCAGCCACTAATGAAAATAATGTAATATAAAAGTCCCTAAAACATCATATAAAGCACTATATCATTACTTTGTTCTTTCCTGCTTCCACACTTTTATTAAAATCTTTTTTCTGTTAATTAATTTCCATCACTAACTTATCCTTATTAGTATTCCTACTCCATTTTATCAAACACTATTTTAAGTTATCTTTCATTTACCATAAATTTAGAAATTTTTGTCCTAGATGAGGAAAAAACCTTGAACACCAATGGAATTAATATTGTCTTCTGTCTTGTTATAGACACAATAAAATAGAAATAGTTCTTTGAATATGAGGCTATTTCTTTGGCAATTCAGGAATTTTTTTTTTTTTTTATACTGGCGATTGATCCCAGCAGCACTTAACCCCTGAGAAACATCCTCAGCCCATTTTAAAATATTTTATTTAGAGAAAGGGTCTTGCTAAAGTTGCTTAAAGTCTAGCTAAGTTGCTCAGGCTGGCTTTGAACTTACAATCCTTCTGTTTCAGCCTCTTGAGCCACTGGGATTAAAGGTGTGCTCTATTGTGCCCAGGGAATTAAAATAATGTAAATGTGGTGCATTTAGTAAATATAAATTCTTCCGTTACTCCATAAAATGTAAGATTCAGATACTTCCTTCATAATCAGGATTCTCTTTTCTTTAATATTAAAAAAGAATGTAAAAAACTAAGTTGATTTTCTTCAATTATGGCTACATTTTTTTCCTTTGAACAATAAACTTCTCTCAAATGATATCTTAAATAAAATGGATCAAAGCAGATACTATGGATGATGCAGCCATGGAAGATATAAGCCCTAACCATTCTGAATCCTTCTCTTCCTATGGATTTCCAAAGGCTCTTGGGAATACAAGTTAATGTGAATGAATCATATTATCTACTACAAGGTTTATCTGATTCTTGAACTGCATTAAGCAATTTATTTTTTCATCTTGTAGAGAATTAGAGGAACAGGGCTATAATTTAGATCCATGATATACAAAACAACTAAAAAAGAAATCTAATATCCTTTGCCTCAATACTGTACCTCATTAATATACTGATTACTGAATCCACTAACCACAAAATGAAGCTGTCATAAAATACCAATGCCACGTAATAAATCTTAAAAGATTATTTTTTTGTAAATATTTCACTAAAATTCTATTTTTAAGCAAACAGATGTCATTATTGCTATTACCTTCAAGTTATTCACTGCAAATATCTAAAATTAAATAGCATTGATATCTACCTTAAGTCTTGATTTAATTATCAGAATCTTTTTAAATCTCTGTTGTAAGATTTAAATTTCCCATCCCAGGGAAGCAATGAAACATCAAGTATAAAGGTAAAGGGCTACACTAGAATTTCTTTAGATTATCTATTGTGAAGGAACAGTACTGTCTATTCTATTAGGGTTACACACAACATAAAAGGAGATGAACTTCATTTTCCTGACTGTGACTTTATCTATTACTTCATTTGAAGCATTATAAATGCTCAGAATCAGACACATGGATATGCAAGATCTGAAATTAAAACCTAATTAAAGCTATTCCTAAAATGAACTATTTTAAGACATTCACATCAGATATATTTCCACTATTAATGATTGAGAACTGACCTTCATTACTAGAAGTGGAAGAAAAGGGAAGGGTCACTACATTGAAGAAATTAGGGACACCATTCGGACAGAACAGAAAGTGAATAGTGCTCTAGAATTATAAATGTGATGGCTCAGGAAAAGGAAGAGAATAACTGCAAGACATAAAAGGGATATCCAGTCTATTAACTATAGGATGTCATTTTATGCTTGGGCAAAATACATTTACAGCACCTCAGAAAAAGGGAATGGTATACCAAAAAAAAACCCAAAAAAACAAAAAAACAACAACAACAAAAAAAACAACTTTGTTGCTTTTCTAGAATATAACTAGAATTGCAAGATTCTTATCTCTTAAGCAGAATACCGTCTCTTAAAACCCTCTCTTAGGGACACCATTTGGACAGAACAGAAAGTGCTTTGCAAACTGGAAATTCTGACATGCTGAGGTATGCTATAGAGCTGAAAATGGCAATTACTAGTTGGCTTCTTTACATCTAAAAAGGTAGTCTAGAGTATTTCCTAAAATGAGGTCCCTCAGAATAGTGACATGTAATTTTTAATATGTATGAAGAATTTTTTCTTAAAAAAAAGTTTTAAATCTAGTTATACAGCATTCTTTACAGAACTTCAATCTTTTAGGCTAATGTAATTGTACTTCTCTAAAGGCAGGTAGAATATAAAGTTTCCAAAACTTAGCCAAGAACCCTTATTCTACATACACATGAATTAACTTCTTCAGAATATTTATTCTACATACACATGAATTAACTTCTTCAGAATATTTTCTGAGGAATATAATTTGGAAAACTGCTGTCTTCATTTGGGCCCTTTAATTAAAAGCTCTGACTACTTCCAAAGTAGTGTGGGGATGGGCAAGTGTGTGTGTGTGTGTTGTGGGGGGGGGGGGGTATAACATGAACTAATTTTTTTGTAAATTTTTTTGTTATTATAAAATGATATGTAATAGAAATATAACATTTAGTTTAAAAATAATTATGATTCTTTATTATGCTATTGACTTTGATTGCCAGTTTGTAGATTTTTGGTTTTATTTTCCCTTCTTTTTGTAAGAAAATATTTTGGGGAAGAATCAAGATAAGTGGTTCACTGCACCTGAAACCAAAGAATTAATAATAATGTCCCTTTACATTTCTTTCTCCTCAAAAATTCTATTCACTACTACTACTTGAGTTTATATATTTTATAATTCTTATTATATTCAACAATTAAATAATAAAATAATAATGATGAAAGTTAATTTCCCTACAACCTTCAGGGGTCTTCCTTAGAACTTCATTTGATGGTGAAGCAATAGATGCAAGAAATTCATCCACCTGCTTTAAAGATAGGGCATTGTGAAGAGTTTCCAGAGGGCAAATAGATGGCACCATGGAGTATAATTCAAAGCCTGCAAGAGAGAAAACAAAAACAAAAAAATAAAAGTTGGGTGTTTTCAAAATCAATAATTGAAAAGAAAGATGATCACTGTTTAGAACTGGAAAATTTAGTCTTTTCAATATATCACATGCAAACACACAAGATCTCTCAAGTCATGACACCAGATGCTATGCAATATGGATTGAAATAAGATGTGACAAAGATTTCTCTTTACATGCACATGAATTCCTTAAGAAAACCTAGGGGGAAAAAGATAAGATACAAATTTTCAGTTTTTATCTGTTAAAGTCAGGTCTATTCAATAGATGAATAAACTGATGTTATAATGTGTCCCTGACGCTAGATTGCTAAAAGTAATTTCTTGTCAGAAAACAATTACATAATTATTTGTGAAGAATGGTTTTAAACACCTTTCTAGTCACATCAAGGCCAATTATACTCTCTAGTATGATTCTAAAATTACATTCATTCACTTATGGTAGAGTTAAAATTCTGAAACATATTTCACCTACCTTTACTGAATTACCACCAATAATTCTATTATTGAAAATCACTGACTGAGTAAAGTTAGGTCAAGTAACAAACAATACCAAATACAAATATGTTTATATTTAACAACAGCAGAGAAATATAAAAAATTCATGAAATTTTCATGCAGATATGTATTAATATCGTCAGTGAAACAAAAGCACTTAAACACACAGTTTATTTTCTTAAACCAATAGGATACAGGTTATTCACTTTTTTAAAAAACAGAAAATTATCTATTTATTTAAATTTTATTCAACTGAATGGCTTTTAAAATTGTTTTAATATACTATTAAAAATAACAAGTCTTTCTTCACGTACTCTTTCAAAAATCTAAACTAGTTTTCCTTCCAAGAAATACTTTAAATGTTTAAGTTTACAACATAAAAGCCTTGCACCAGTAATTAACAAGTAAGCATTAACTAAATTCAGACTGCAAAATAGAATGTGCTTCAATAAGCATGTGCTCATTTTAAAACTGAGTACTATCTGATTTTCCTCCTTAAATTCTGGGAAGAAATATGGACCCAAGAACTACTGGGGGGATTCCCAGTTGGAATAGGAGAACTTCATTTAAAAGAAATTTAATCTTACCATGAAAACAACCAAAGCTTACATATTTGATTTTCAGGTGCAAACCAAAGCAAGACAGAACATTGCATATACTTAAAAAGAACTATAGTAGTATAACAACACTTAAAACACCTAAAGTAAGCACCAAAGAAATTATGCTTGCACAATTGCTATTTTCTTTTTTACAGTATAAAACTCATGCAAATAAGCTCAAACCCTTTCTTTGCATTACAGACAAAAATTAACAATGTGTTCTTTCTCCTTTCCTTAGGATGTTTATAAGTCTATTGTTTTCTTTCCTTCACCTGCTAGATTTTATAGCAGGTGAATGACAATATAATCAAGTTCCTTAGGACTACAATTTTCCCATTTATCTTTAATAAACTTTTTCTTTAATGCACAATGAAAGGGTTAGTGCAGAAATTTAAAAAGCCACCCCGCTGACATGTTTAGAAGCTATAAAAACATACCACTGGAGCCTAGAAATTCCACAGAGGAAATGGACCAGCACCTATAGAGGTGTAGGTGTTCTGCACAGAGGCCCAGAAAATAAGGTAAAGCACTGTCAGAAGATACTTGTTTCACCATGTTCCTTGAACTAAAGATGAAGGAGGGGTAAGTCCATGATATGTGTTAAAGATGGAAATAACATGAAAGTTAGGGGAAATAAAAAGTGAAAGGAAGAGTCAAATGACAATTCATTGGACAGATAAGACAACACAGCATTAAAAAAAGAAAAAAAGAAATCTTGAAAACCCAAAGGAAATATTTCTATAATTAAAAGAAATGTATTTTATACGCATTAAGTTCTATAATATGTAGAAAAAGCCACATTTAGAAAATAATCTAAAACAAAGGAATATAAAACTACTCTTTTTTAATTTAACAAAAGGATTTATTATCATTATTTTTTAAAAAAATTTTGTAGTTGTAGATGGACAGAATGCCTTTATTTTATTTGTTTGTTTTTATGTGGTGCTAAGGATCAAACCCAGTGCCTTACACATACATGCTAGGCAAGTACTCTGCCACTGAGCTATACCCCCAAGCCCTATCATTATTTTTATTGTCAATGAAAATACAGAGTTTTTTTCTTGATAAAAGCTGCAAGCCTGGCTTTAAGCACATAAACGTTTAGCATACAACTATAGACAGTCTTAAACTTGAATACTTCTTCTTCGAATTTTGTAAATTGTTTTTCTTGTGACTTGTTTGTCTTCTAAGAGGTTCTTAGGTATGTGATATCTCTAGAAGCTGCAGCTATATCAAATAAAGACCATTTTCTTCAAAATATAGTATTTAAACAGCAACAGTGGAGGGAAAGCACACTAAACTTTCATTTGTTGAGAATGAAGTCTTCTTTTTCTACCTTTAAGAAATACTAGTGCACTGTTATCTAGATGTGTTAAAGGACCCGAAAGGGGAAGAATGATCACAAACTTGTGTTGAATACTTAAGATTCATAAAATTTCAATTTTTGAAAGACTTCTTTGTAGTTAAAAACTTTAAGAAGGTTCCAGGGATAAAAGCACCTTCATTACAAAAAGCAAAAACTTGTACATTTTAAAAAATTCTTAGGTCCTGTAGTATTTAAAGATGATTAGTAAATATTCTTTATTGCTCCAGAAGATCAAGCTTTATGTAAAAAGCTGCAATACTGCAATGATTCAATTTATAAATACTGGTTGTAAAACACTTTACTATTTATTCAGCCTCAAAAAATTAAATTTAACTGAATTGGATTTCTGGACGTTTTTTTCTATCAGGAATTCCCCAAATTTTAAGAAAACGAAGTGTTATCAAAAGGAACTGGTTGCTTGATAACAGTATTCCATACTGCCACATGAGGACAAAGTGATTGCTGGTTAAAATTTTCAAAGTGTTCCAGATGAAGTCTGGTTTTGCTTTAGACAAAGCCAGGGATAAATGTTGTTACGCAGTGAAATCTGCATCACCTGGTTCCCAAGAAATTTTCAAAGACACTTCTCCTTCGGCTATTTGATACAGGTCACTCTGTATTTCTGTTAAATATCTCAATAAATCAACCATGTGGTCAAAAAAGAAATTGGGGAGAAAAAATTAAAATTAATAATAATTAAGAATAAATTAATACCAATTGTTACAATTTAAGAATTTGTGTGAACTAGTCACTTGAGAAATTAGAATTTTAAGGTGTTAATTCATCATCAATTGTGCTTATTTAAGAGTTTGATGAATAATGTTAAATTATTTTATAAATCAGAGCTAAAAAAGGGAGCCAGCCAGTATCAATAATTTGGGTGATTAAGAAGTTGGAATTGTATGCCAATTGAAATTAAGAATGGATAATGAATGATACTGTATACCCCACATTTTGAAATAAAAGAAAAAATAAAAAGGGACAAAGCAGGGGAGTATCTTTTAAAATAAAAGCAAAACGTACCATTGGTTGGGTGTCGAGCAAATGAGATAGAAAACCTTTTAACAGCAGAACCGCGTGTGGCGTCTGAGAAAGAGAAAAACAGGTACCTGAAATTTGTAACAGCTACCAAAAGAAGAACACTTAAAAAAACAAAAAGAGGGGAAAAACAAATATAGAAGGAAGTTAGAATTAGGTGACATGCAGAAGGGACAATGAGAGAAGGTAATAAGCCAAATACTGGTTAAAAGCAGTAAACTGGCTTGATGATAGAGGCAAATGTTTAATGAAATATATAAAAGAAAGAAAAGCAGGATGAGCTGGCAATTTTGGTAAATCTAAGTTTTATTGACTAAAATAAATTTGTGGATATATATGGTGATTCTGAAAACTAAAATACTCCTCTTAGCAAAAGGGACCAGCTTCCACGAGCTTCAAAGGCATTCTGAATATTAAAATCTTAAAACTTAAGGTATGTTAACAACAGTGAGAGGATCTCCTTTAGCTAGGAATCCTAAAATATTCTCTTTCTATGATTATTTTTATAAAAATATTACCAACATGGATTTTCTTCTAGTAATAAATATTTTATTCACCTTATTTTAATTAGTTCAATATCAGTAAGTAGGATAGGGTTAACAATGAACAAATTTAAAAGATCAAACAAAATTCTTTATAATATGGATCATCAATTATTTAAAAGAACACATATGATGCAGTTCTAGATATTCCATTTCAATGAACTACTTACTGTACAAGTACTTTAAATTTAACTACAATTAATTGTTTGATGAAACATGGATCCAAGCTGTGGATTACATAGAACACAGATAGTCATTTAGGTAAAGGGTGCTAGAATTCCACTTGAACCAGTCAGTGGCTTCAGATATGCTTGAGAAATACTGCTCATGGGTGTGTGCATGAGTGTAGGTATGAAATCTGTGTGTGCATGTGTGCACATACCATCTATGCAGCCAGAAGAGGTCAGCTTTTTACGATGAGTACGAGCATAATCCTGTAGGTTAGGTGCGCTTGAAGAACCCCCGAGCACCGAGGTGCTAAACAGGCCCGCACAGTGAGACCCTGATGGGAGTTAGAGAAAATACATACAACAACGGGTGTTCTTCCATTCACATTGGGAATTCATGCAGCATGCAATTGACATGGCTCTTACCAACACACAGGCAGCCTTTGGCAGTGCCTTGAACAGGCTCACAATATGCTTGTAACGTTCTACGGAACATTACATAATGCTTCTAATAACAACTACCATTTATAATATGTACAAATGGGGTAACTTAACACTAAATAAAATACTATCTTTGAGGAAAAATATATGCACACACAATAATTAGACATATGTACATTTAAAAAGTTTTAAAATATTACCATAAAAATAATTTAGGACAAGATGGGATTCTGATAAACAAATTGCAAGAGCAGGCTATATTAAAAAAAAAAAAAGAAATACTTCTCCTAGTACAAATTTTTATAATAAGTCAATATTTTTGAATGTATGCCTATCAATGAAGAATCTTTTCTGATCCCCTTGAATTAAAGACTGTCAATTTTTTTTATAAAATAAAGTTAAGTATATCAATACATTTACTTGTAAGACCAGGAAAAATTTCTTATACTTAACAAATGACTCTAGATCTTAATTAATAAAGCTCCAATAAAACATGTCATCATCAAAACACAGCCAGTATAAACTGATGCTCTGTAGCAAAAGTTTTTTTACTCAAACAAAACATTCTCTACTGGGAAAGATTAAATAAATTTCTATCAAATATACTATGCTAGTACATTAAGAAGGTGTAATACATACATTTCTATTAAAATACTGTCGGAATATTAAAAGCTATCAACATAAACTATTAAAGTAATTAAAGAAAGATCATCAAGTATATAGGAATCAACAAGGTTCATAGACTGCAGTACATATATAGTTTAAACTTATAATGAGATCTATGCTTTTATTAAACCTGTTTAGACAACTATTTACAGAAAAGAGTAATGTTGTTACCTCATATAATTTATCAACCAATGACCTTAAACCCAATGAGTTTGTAAAGTGTTCTTCAAAGTTGCTTTGAGTGTTAGCAAAGAAATAATTATGTTCTATAGTTTTTAATAGAGAGTAAATCTGCCACTGTGCGTCAGTTTTGCTTTGGTTTTCCTTAAGAGCTGTTGCAAAAGAAAATAAATTCACCCAGATAGGGTTTGAAACATTCTCTACCTAATTAGCCTTTTTAATCAGAAAAATAGATTTTTTTTCCCCATGCAATAGCACCTTTTCATCTTTATTGAGTGGAGAGATGAAGTTTCCTTCATAAACTGACTTATATAATAATAGGTTAAAAACAAGCATTGGCAAGTGGACTAAGTCATTACCATAGGGTTACATAACAAAATTAAACACTATGTCTTAAAATATCAAAACTTTACTGTGTAATTGAGATGTACAACTCAACATTTCTGAATTAATACACATTAAATAAAAACTAGAGCATAGCATTTGGTCATGCTTTTATCACTGAAGAGTTTTACATGTGTGCACAATATTGAGTTTATAAAGGGAATAGAATACAATTTCCTTTAAACCACATACCTACAGTAGGGTTTTGTTTCTGTTCCACAAGAGCTCTTGGTGTTCGAAGGTAATTAGTGTTTTCAGATACAACCTACATAAGGAAAACAAAATAAATGAAATAAAACAGCAAACTAAATTAGAAAGTCCTTAGTTCATATGCAGCCTGTCCAGACAGACAAAGGTTAATAAGCTGTATGATAAATATTAGTAGAAATACACAAAACATGAAAGATCATGCAAGATCCCCTTTTGAAGGGAGTCCATTTCATATGATGTCCTTGCAATGAAGTGGTGCGAAGCAGGCATTCAGAATGAAAAATGTATGAAACAAGACAGATGAAAAGAAATAATTAATAGATTGATATATCCACTCTCTTATTTAAAAGAAGCCAAATGCCCACTCTAAAACAGCTCCTGTATTTAAAGGGGGGAAAAAACAACCACAAACAAAAGAAAAGACAGACAGACTGTTAAGTCACCATACAATTACTGATCCATGCATGGACTTTATCAGAGTAACCTTTAAATATTCACAGCCTTAATGGATACCATAATCCCTTTTCCTATAATCAAATGTATTATATTTCCAAAAGGAAATTGCTGAAATTATCAGAAAAATCATGTGTAACAGCAGACCTTCATTCTAATAAAAACCAGAGTATTTAAAGTTTCCAAATGCCATCATAGAAAGTCCTTCTGAAGTAATTTTATTTTGAACCATATTATTGATGGTTCAATACAAGACACTTGATGGTTGATGGTTCAATATAAGACACTTGCCCTGTCTTATATTATATAGCTCAAAGAAAAACATAATGTACATATATATCCCTTAGATACATCCAGATAAAGGAATAGTGAGGGAGAGAACAATCATTTTAGATGTATCCTGCTAATTAACACTGGGTCACATAAATTTTGATGCTTAAAAAATGTTTACATTCTCAGCAAATTCCAAATGGAATCAATATTTTCAATGATGGGGGGAAAATCAGTAAATTTTCTTACCATCAAATCACAAATTCTGTTTCTGAATGTTTTAAAAGATAACTGGAGTCAAATGAAAATTTCTTTCCCTTTAAAATAATTTTATCAGCAAGCTCAAGTTCCAGGAAAATAAAATTTATTGATTATTATTTAAATCCTGGATATTTAGAACTTTTGCAGTAAAAATGCTAAACATATGCAACATAAGTTGTTTCTTTCCCTCAATTATTGTTAAATATAAATATTTTTAAGTGGACTCAAAATTTAAAAGCAGAAGGATTTACTCTGATGTAAAACACAAGGGATTAGATGTCCTCAAAGACAGTTGTTTGTTGCTCTGAATGCAGGGAGGAAAAATGTTTAATGAAGTAAAATTTAAAAACCTGTTGCCATGAGCCAAAAATACTGGATGTGAAAGCCAATGATTTGGGGGAGACAGGGGAAGAAGTGATTTGTTCCCCTGATCTGCGTCTTCGACGCCCAGTACCCACACCACTGGTATAATGCAGCCAGGTACCAGTACCCTCTGGGCTAGACACACTCAGGGGGCTCTCTTCCTGAAAGTGAGAAAGGGGGCAAAAAAAAAAAAAAAAAAAAAAAAAAGCAGAGCATGCACAGTTAGATACAACAGAGCCAAATGATCAGAAAGAAAAAAAAATACAGTTTGCTTGCATTTTCTTATCATTTTTTTTAAAAAAATAATTAAACCATAATTTGGGAGCCAAATATTTCAATATTTGAGAATTTGATAGGAATAACATACGAATTTAATTTTGTGATAACAATATAGAACTATTTGTATTTCCTTAAAATACATAAAATATTTATACTGCTTAATAGTTGTCCCTTCTCTTAAAATTGAAAGATTTTAATGTTTCTATCTAGCAACTATTTAAATATTATTCTGTTTAATTTTAAATATTCAAGATATTTTGTGCTGTTGTGAGCAAAGTAAAGGTTAAAGAGGTTTCAATGTATAGAACTTAGAAAAGAAAATCTCTCTGCTAGTCATTTAAAAAGAAAAATCACAATGCTTAAAAATGCATTCTGCTGTCATGTATAACTAATGAGAACAAATTAAAAAAATAAAATTAGAAATAAAAGAAAAATCAAGACAAAATTTATACTTGTTTATATACTTTCAAGTTATTTGTTTACCCCCTCCAAAAATTATTATAGAATTCAGTAGGCAAAACATGCAGCAGACATTCTCATTTTTATCTTTGCATGTTTAGGTTTCAAACAGTGAGAGTAGAATAAAATCCACTCGCACAAAATAAAGAGAATAGTCTTTTTTTTCTTTGTGTCTTTTAGAAATACAAACTTCTGATACCCACAGAGAGGTGGACAATAAAAAAAGTCTTTAAAGTTTAACTTGAATAATTTACCTTATGGAAGTAAAAGTTGAGCATGTTATAGAAATAATCTCTTGAAAGCAATTATTTAAGAATTCATAAGAAAGAGGTTTATAAATGTGTTCTGTGTTTTTAAAGTTAACAAGAGCAGTGATTCTGTAGAAGGTTTTATCAATATAGATGAGCCGACTCACAATACATTTTGTTTGAGCAGTGTTATATAGATTTTTTTGGAGAGCAAACTAGTAGAGGGTTTCATGGTAAAATTCTAAAGAATTTAATCAAATGCAGAGTGCTTGCTCAACAACACATCAAAATCATTGCCCCTGAACAAATGGTGGCTTAGATTATATTAATATAGGTCATTCCTAATTTTCTGAAATTAAGTATACCTGAATATAAAACCAGATTTCTTTCTTTCATTTTTTTTTTGTATTGGAGATGGAACCCAGGAACACTTAACTACTAAGCTACATCCTCAGTTTTTTAAAATTTTTATTCTGAGATAGGGTCTTGCTAAATTCTGGGTCTGCCTTCAAACTTGTAATTCTCCTGCCTCAGTCTCCCAAATTGCTAGGATTACAGGCATATGCCAACATTCCTGGCAAATGTTTCAATTAAGCCATAATAGAACGTATAATCCCAGGTTCTATAATTGTTAACCAGCTTTTTTGGTTGTTTTTTTAAACTGCCCTCTTTTTTAATTAACTTAAAATATTATGTTCTAGGTAAGTTACCCTATTTAGTACACAATTTCCATTATGAAGTTACAACAATCTACTGAGTTTTTTTCTATGCATGAGTGTCAAATTACATGAAATTTGAAGTGAATCATAAAACACTTATGATAGTAAAATTAGGGGTTGGAGAATAAGCACAATTCTTTGCTAGATGATGTGATACTTAATGTTTTGGATTTCATCTATATAAATACCAAAAAAAAAAAAAAAAAAAATGTTTCTAATTGAGTTGATGGCTTTTCCTAACTCAAATTAAGTTTCTTGCTTTGTATTTTTATTAGAGCATTTAAAAAATAATTATAAGCACTGACCTCAATCAGTACTAGCAGAATCATCCTACTACAAATAAATAATTCAAAATAAGATTAAAAGTATAAAACATATACAGATATTAAAAATCTACCTAACATGTTTTATTACAACTGCTCAACTTTCCTTTTAAATGTTATGGTAATGGTTATTAAAATAGTATTGTAAGAGTGAGCATAAGAATTAGTTTAATGACTCAAATTACATACCTTAATACAAAGGTAAATTTTTCAATAGTATTACCAAATTTTTAAGCTTCTATATAGATTTTTGCAATAAGGAAACAATTTGAAATTTCATATTTTAACCTGCAGTGTCAATGGAATCCCTTACAGTTGAAGCATCTTTGGCATTTTCTGACTAGTTTTAATAAATTAAAATTATTCTTGATACATTAAATCAAACTTTTAAAAAATTCTTTATTGAAGAATAATAACCTAAAGGGACAAGACAAAAATATGGATGTTTATCAATTTCTTAGACCTTACTTTCATATTTGTATTCAATTTTGTTACAAAAGCTACACATAAATTTCCAAACTCTAAAACTAATCTTTATTTTCTAACTGCCTCTATATTTTTAAAAATTTGTTTGAAAAACAGACAAAGTTGACAAAAATTTTTAAGGTTCCCAAACTCCATATTAAAAGCTGTATTTTCTTTTCAGTTTTATTAACATATAGTTAGTTTACTCTATGAAAACATGCTCTGACACATATACATACTTCATTCGTAGCCATCTTTCTAGATCGTGGGAGTGGAGACTTCCTGTGTATGTGAATTGGCTCTGATACCATTGGTTTAAATAGTATCACAGCTCGATCAATCTCATCTCTTTTAGAAGTATGTGGTTCGTCATCATTATCAATTTTAAAAGATCTTCTGCCTTCATTCTGTGAGGAAAAAATACAGTACACTTATAATTCAGATTAAACAAAAATCTCTTCTGATAACAAATTCAACTACCAACTGAAGTAGTCACTTGATGTAGATACATACAATTTGCATTCTGGGATGAATTAATAGTATTAATTGAACTCTTTATTTAAAAAAAAATTTTTTTAGTTGTCAACAGGCCTTTATTTATTTATATGTGGTGCTGAGAATCAAACCCAGTGCCTCACACATGCTAGGCAAGTGCTCTGCCACTGAGCCACAATCCCAGTCCTTAATTGAATTCTTATAACAGCCTATTATGGTGTGTACTGTAAGAGAGATGACCAAGTCTCTGACTTTAAGAAATACATTCAGTTTATGAAGAAATTAAGTAAAATAACAATTTAAAATAAACATATATAAAACAAAGTATATAGTTAAATTTCTTCAAATATGCAAATAATACTAATTAGTGACCAATAAAAGTAGAGACAGGTTTTGTTATATAGAAATGTTATCAACCCAAGCAAGAATAAAATAGTATTTGAATTTATATATTTTAGAATATTTAAATTCTATTCCAAATATTTCCAATAAATGTGATCAGTGCAGAAAAGATAATCATCCACTAAATACTATATTGAGTGTGTACTATTTGCTAGGATTTTGATGAATAAGGCACAGTCTCAGACTCTAAAAATTTCATAGCAGAGGAGACAATATAAAACATCTTAGACCAAATATCAACCTGGAACAGAATGGATTAATTTGGCCAAAGTCATATGGTAAAATACATGTTTTAAAGCAGTAAGAATAAACTAAAACTAAATAAAATTACTTGATGAATCTCATAAATTTAATATTGGAAAAAAAAAGAAAAAGAAAAGTCCAAGAGAGTATATAAAAAATTCTTTATTAAATTAAGGACTATATAAATATAAAAAAGACTTCCTTAATCTAAAATTTCAAATAACCATTACAGGTAATATCACTATTCATAGATAAGATCACAGAGAAAATATAAATGACTCTATGGACAAATTATTAGAATGAATAAAGCATATAGTAAGTTTGCTAGTTATATGATCTTAATACAAGTTAAAATTCAATGATAGTAACAAACAAAAAAATCAAACACTATTAATAGCATCAAAAAATAAAAAGAATATGTGAATTAATCTGACAAAGAAGATGTGACTTATTGCAAATCTTAATTTTGCCAAAAATGACATAATGTACAGCCAAAGTGAGAAATATACCAAGACACCTTATATTAGAAGATTCAGTACCACAAAAGTAATTTCTCTCAAAATTGGTCTCTGCAGAGTTGGTGTAATCCTAATTTAAATCCCCAAAAGTTCTTTTTGAAACATTATAAGATTACAAAATTTATATGAAAATGCAAGAACTCTAAAACACTCAAGGTAATCTTGAAGATAAACAAAGCTGAAGAACTTTCAAGTTAGAAATTAATATTATAGGGCTGTAATAATTGAAATTGATATTGATACAACTACAGGGAGACAAACAAACCAATGGAGTAATACTAAGTAATAGTTCAAAAACCAATCTACCAATATATGAAAACAATATGTCTGGAATATCAGAAGTAGTACTGCAGACAGTAGAGAAAAGATGAACTCTTCCATATACAGTACTAGAACTAGTTTTCCATATAGGGAAAAAACAAAAACAAAAAACTGGACTTCATATCACACATAGCATATAAAAAAAAATGAAGTTTTGTGCAGTAAAGAAATGGGGGAATAAAATGATATTAGACTTAAGGAGAGTAGCAGGAAAGACTAAAGACATCAGAGATGCTCAATATGTAAAGAAATCTAAACCTACTGGGAAGACATGTTCTGACACATATAATTACTTTGATAGAAAGATATGCATATACATTCTAATATACCATGATTCTAATACAACCAATATTCTAACATATTCTAATACTCCAAGTCTAAATGACTGACTATAAACAATAATAATGACCTGGAGAATATAAAATATATTTTAAAAACATACATATATAATTCTTGACAAAAATAACATAAAATGGGATTGAGAGTAAAAGAATTAAAATCTTTCAAAACATGATTATATGGTTAGTAACATATAATTAAAGTTCTATTGATGTTAACAAGTCAGAGATTCATGTTACTATCTCTAGGGTAACCATTAAAAGAATAGTGGGGACAGTGTTGGAGAGTGATACTGGCCAAATTATATTATTATATTGTGTACTGTGTTCATATATGAATGTGTAACAACAAATAATATCGGTATGCACAACTATAATGTACTTCAAAAAAAAAAGCAAGAAGTGAGAGAAAAAAGAACAAATATCAAACAGATAGGTTAAAGATGATATATAGTATGGTTAAAGATGATATATAACATTGATATGCACAACTATAATGCTTCAAAAAAGGCAAGAAGTGAGAGAAAGAGGAATGATATCAAACAAGTTGGTTAAAGATGATATATAATAAATTTCAAGTACATCGAATTATATTATCTATGTACTACAATTACAGGACAAAGATTGTGAGATTGCATAAAACATAAAACTTGAATATATACTGTTTATGACACATTGTAAATATATGAATCTAAAAGGTTGAAAGTAAATGGATGAAAAATAAATGGAAAAAGGGATACTGTTTGATCTTTCTTAACTAGATTTCTCATGAGAAGTAAGTACTAATACACTAGCAGTCACACTATATGTAATGAAGTAATGTTTCTTGTATGTATCTAAAATGGTATAATTATACCCATTACGTAGTAATAAGAGTAAATTAGAAATATATTAGCTTTTCCCATGAATTAAGACCCATTTTGAATCATCACAATGTATTTGATTAAGATACTCTAAACTGGCTAGTTCTCCTATAGTTCCTTTAGCCTAGCTCTCCATCAGAAGTAAAAGTAAATTATACTGGAAACACACAATATCAACAATAGGCCCACACTTTCTCTGCAAGTTTTAATAGTCAATGTCTAGCACAACATTATGGTAATAGCTTGAAATATAAGAAAATATGAGATCAAAAATCAAGGACAAAAAAAAGAAAATGAATCCAATGGTGATCCAGATAATGATGATATCAGTTAAAAAGTTTATAACTAAAATTAATATTCTCACATAACTACAAGAAAGAATTTCAGTTAAAAATTAGAAATTATAAAAACAACCAAATGGGAATTCTAGAGCTAGAAAACATAATTAAACCCTACTTACTACAATCTAAAATTAAGAACTCAGTGGGTAGGGTTTAACAGCATGTTGAAAAATAAAAACAGAATTAATGAACTGGAAGAGAGGTAAAAATAAAACACTGTATCTGAAGCATACAGGAAAAAATAGAGAAGAGTTTAAGAAATGCATAGATAGAGTTTAAGATGCGTCGTGATTCCAATAGAGATGTATGCTAAATCTGAGAAAGAGAAAAAAGAATGTATAAAAATTAGAGAGATAACTATTGCAAAAGATCCCCCCCCCAAAAAAAACAAAAAAACCACTGAGTCACATGTAAAAGAAGCTCTATTAACCACAAGCAAACAAATGAAAGTAAAACTATTACAAGTGCCAAGACAATCAGATAACATTGGAGTCTCTTAAAGAAAGTGATTAAAAGAGACCAGATGAAACACACATGAGAGACTGAGGTTGTAGCTCAGTGTTAAGAGCACTTGCCTAGCAAGTGTGAGGCACTGGGTTAGATCTTCAGCACCATATACAAATAAATAAAATAAAGGTATTGTGTCCATCTACAACTAAAACATTGAAAGAAAAAAAAAAAGAAATATACATGAGATGGAAAAACAAAGCAAATAACACATAGGTACATTTAACAAAAACACATCAGTAATTATATTAAATGAATAAATATGACACATCAAAGACCAAGATTGTAAAAATACAAAGTAAAATAAATACAAAACCCTCAAGACTTAATGGTTGTTTGAGGCTTTTTTTTTCCTTACGAAGATTATGATCAAATATTCACTAACTAAAATGTTACTTTGTCAAAATATTTATTCCCCGATGTGATATGCTAGATTACCACAGATGTAGCTGACCATTTTTACTTTGAAAATATATCTACCTTTACATGAACTATATCAAAATAAATTATTTTTGCATAAAAAAACCAAAATCCATATACTGTTTAAGAGCCCACACACTGTACATACAAGAAGAAAGAAAAGTTAAAAGAATAAAATTTAAAAATAAAGGAAATGTTAAACTAAAACAATATCAAAATAGATTACAAGCACTTCCCAGGCACAAACAGTGACATTTCATAATGAGAAAAGATACAAAGAAGATATAACAACTCTAAATTTGTATACATAGCCTCAAAATATGAAGCAAAAATCCTTACAACTGTAAGGAAAACCAGACAACCCATGATTGCAGTGGGAGATTTTTGCATACCATTCTAAGTAGTTAGTAGAGCAATCAGACCTTAAAAAAACACTTCAATGATATAAAAGATCTGAACATCAGTTGAATAAGTTTTATTCAACAGACTTGCACTGAACACCTATACTCAACAAATATAATAGAAAATACATTGTTTAAAGTATACATGTGGTAATTATAAAAAAAATCATATGTAGAACAATAAGGCAATTCCAAATACATTCAAGGCAAGCAGAAATGCCACCAAATATATTTTCTGACAAAAGTTGAATTAAGCTAGACATAGTTATCAAAAGCTTACATGTAGTTTCCACATGTTTGGTAAGCCATGAATCCCTAAACTCATGAATCAAAGAAGAAAAATCACACAGAAATCATACAGCATTTTGAGTGAATAATAAAACATAACTATGTGATGTAGCTGAAATGATAATGCAAATATTAGAAAAAGAAAACTTTAAAATACATGATCTAAATATACATCAAAATAATTAAGAGATAAACAATAAATTCAAGGAAAGCAGAAGTAAGGAAATAGAACACTTAACATCAGAAGTTATGAAAGAAAAGAGAAATGCGTAACAGAATGAACAAGGGAATTGTCAGTCCTTTGAAAAAATTAAAACAAAAAAACAAAAACCAAATCTTTGCTAAGGTTCATTTAGTGAAGAAACAAAAAATATCATTATGCAAAAAGGGACATCATTAGAAATCTTAGAGATAATAAAAAACAACATAAGGACATTTTGAACAGCTATATACCCTAAATTAGAAAATTTAGATAATCAAAAAGCACAACTTACCAAAACAGACATAAAAATATGTAGAAAATTTGACTAGTAGTACATCAATTTAAAAAATTGAAGATATAACTAAAAATATTCCCCCAAAGAAAACTCCAATCCAGATGACTTCCACAACAAATTTTAACAAATATTTAAGGAAAAAAAAAAATAGCAATCTTATATATCATCTTTTAGATAGTATATAATCCTTAATATGGTAAAGATTAATTGCAGTAACTCATGCAAAGTGTGTAGCATGGAATAATCATCCTTAAGTAAAACAACAATAATAAAAAACAAAAATTGAACTTATCCATTCAAAACATTGGACTTAAAATCCAAACAATTTAAAGATAAAATTCTGAGGAATTCTAATATGTATAAAATGTTGTCCATCCAAATCATATTTTTAAAAGTTTAAGTCATTTTTCTACCTAAGAGTTGTGATGAGAATTATTTATAGTACATAAGAGAAAATTCTTATAGAAACTTCATGAAAATCTAGAATTACAGTAACTAAACACTGAGTGTTCCATCATCATTACCTCTCTAGAAGCAGGTCTATATCCATAGCCAGAAGGTAAATTTTTGTCTTCTTCACAGCCTTTGGCTCCTGGACTGAAGTGTAATTCAACATGAAAGCGTTCCTCTGAGGAAAGATCCTAAAAAAATATGAAAGAACCTCTTTACAATGAAGAACTTCAAACTATTAATCTGGGAACATAAACAAATCAAGAGCTCTGTTACCTTGTTAGGATCCTCATAAAGCATGATAACAATCTGAGTCATGTAGTTGAGTTCATTGACAACATTTAAATAATCCATGGCTCTTTTCCACTGTTCATCCTTTGATTCCTGAACAAAATACAGTGAGTACTTTCTTATATTTTATTACTTAAAATTAACTTCATTGTTATTATAATAATTTGGCTAATTCTGAGTGATATAACACATATAAGATGAACACTTATGTGTATAATCTTTCAAAATAACTTTACTACATTTAAAAGTTTCAGTATATTTCTTAAGGTTGTTTAAATTATTTAGCAGTGGTATTAAAAATTCAGTGCTCTTTTTTCAAAAGAGCATATTTGAAATAAAAAATAAGGAGTATCTTGAAATATGATACCCACTACTGAATTCTTAGGGTAAGAAGTGTTTTTTTTTTTGGTTTTTAATCTTATTAGTTCAAAAGTATCTATTATATAATATCATGCTCCATAAGAGAATATTATCCTATCAGAGTAGTGTTTTTCTCCACTATCATATGGCTCATATTTTGATATGCCTATCAGTAAATATCTCTTATTTACACTGCAATGACAGTAAACAATTAGCAGGAGGAGCCATATAAAAGTTCTATTTATATTACCCATCTCTTTTGCTGTTTCTCCATCTTCATTTAGAGAATTACTGGACTTTAAACTCATAGAGCATCAGAACAGAAAGGAATCTTTGAGAATATATACTCAAGTATCCCAAGTAGAAAATTCTGATTTTTCTTTCTGTCTTTCTTTCTTTTTTGTACTGGCTACTGACCTCAGGGGTACTTTAACACTGAGCTATATCTCCAGCTCTTTTCATTTCGAAACAGGGTCTCACTAAATTGCTGAGACTGGCTTTGAACTTGCAATCCCTCTGCCTCAGCCTGCTGAGTCACTGGGATTACAGGTGTGTACCACCATAACCAGATAAAAAGTCTATATAAAAGGTAAAACTACCCAAAGTATAAAGTCTACAGTTAATTGTAAACAAAGTTTATGTAAATCTTGTGTAAATCAGATAGTTTTCCTTCATCATAAACATGTCATAAGCATTACAAAAAATATAAAAGCACAATTTTTTATATATAAGAATGCACAGTACTAAGAAATTCACTGTAGATTATACAGTGTTTTAAAAAAATATAATGGTAAGATCACATGCTCACATGTACTTCAAAAAAATTCAGTGTATTTCACTTTTATTTTAGATATTATATAATCCTAAAGCACATAATATTTGTGAATAAAAAGTACATCTCTGTGTGTCTATGTGTGTGTGTGTGTGTACATATGTGTTTGGGAAATGATATGTGCAAAGTTGATAAAGGAAAATAAAAATAGCATTACCAAGTTTCACTAGATGTGACTTACTGGAAATGATAAATTTAAACTATTTAATGAATTAGATTTTGATACTATATTATCAAGAACACTATCTAATTTCAGTTATAGATTTTGCTAGGTCTCCTCTAATAAATACATAAAATTAAACAATATTTAGTAATATCTTCCTTAATATAATTAGTAAGTAAGAAGCCACAAAAATATCTTCTTTTTAAAATCAAGGCTCCTTATATATATTCCCTGAAATCTTATTTCCTTAACAAAACTTTTGAAAGAAAATCTATTATGGATATTTTACATAGTCCATTCTGTGTAATAAAAAATTTCAACTGGGAAGAGACTGAACAAGGTATTAAGTAATTCCTTAAAGATTCTTATCAGGATAGTAACAGTTGTGATAATGAATTGTAGTTGAAATAAATTATATTTTGTTTAACAAAATTAGAAAACAGGACATCATTTGGATACAGATTTTAATTATCATTTTAGTAACACATTTAATTATTTCCAAGAAGCACATTTGTATTTATTTAAATGGGGTTGCTTAGTTTTACTTTTAGAAATTAAGCCTAAATTCAATACATGCCCAACAAGCTCTAGCTTCACTGCCACCATCCTATCCAAACTGTGGTATTTTTCTTTGAATCACCGTATAATAGTTTCCCAAATGATTCCCTCCTTTTCACTCTCATCTACTGTCCATTTATACAGCAACAAAAGTCACTCACTTTCGTGCTGAAAACCTTTCAATGGCATCCTAATCCCCTTAGGATACCAGGCATTGGCTCTCCGATCTTATCTGTTACCCTTTTTTTTTTAATTCATCACGCATCAGTATGCTTCAACTACAGACTTTCCAAAATTTCCTATATTTCTCAGGTTCTTACTATCTTTTATATTTGTGCAAGAGTCAAAAAGAAGAACATGTTAGAGATGTATTTCTTTTCCCACAAAACATTTCCATCATTATTACTAGATACCCAAGCTTTTGTCTTGCTAAATATGGGTAATTTTTTTCTATTCACTGTCTTTTATTAAAACTCCACTGATCCACATATGTACGTAAGGATGTCACTTTGCTATTCTTTAGTGGAATAAAAAAGAAAAAACATAAATTTGAATTTTATTTTTAAAAATTCTTTAGATGTTGACGGACCTTTATTTTATTCATTTATTTATATGTGGTGCTAAGAATCAAACCCAGGGTCTTAGAAGTTTTGCAAGCATTCTACCACTGAGCCACAACCCTGGCCCCATGAATTTGAAATTTTATGGGAACACCAAAAATTCCTAGGCTCAAGGCTTCAAGTTTATGATATAAAAGCATATTCCTAGAGGGTATGGTACTAGCAAAGAGGTTAAGTAAATTTTGCATCTGAGAGGAATATGAATTATTGTGAACAATGAGCATATTGTAGCAGATTGTATTTTCTAAAAATGGCTGCCACATAAATTTAATCCTACATACTCTTCTTACAATGTGACACTGATACTCCATTCATAGTGACATGGGTTATTTCTCCTCCCTTTGAACATGGTTGAACCTCTGTAACTGCCTCAATCAATGCAGCACAAGTGACATGATTCCAGTAGTTAGGACAGAGAAAAGGCATACACTTGCACCTTGCTATGCTAGGAAGCTCACTCTTAGAACTCAACTGCATTTTAAGGAAGCAGGTCATATAAAGAACAGATGCTGTTGTTCTAGTCAGCAATCCCTGTTGATGTCCCAGCTGACAATTGGCATCAAGCACTAGATATGAGAGAACACCTTTGAGATGATTAGAGCCCCAGCCACTGTCTGACAGCAGGCTCATGAGACCCTGAGCAAAAATGCCTAATAGATTTCAGTCAACCCTCTGAACTGTGAGCAATAAAAATAAAATGATGGTGGGTTTTGTTTTTTTTAAAGAGAGAGAGAGAGAGAGAGAGAGAGAGAGAGAGAGAGAATTTTTTAATATTTACTTTTTACTTTTCAGTGGACACAACATCTTTATTTTATTTATTTTTATTTATTTATTTTTTAATGTGGTGCTGAGGATCGAACCCAGAGCCCTGCACATGCCAGGCGAGCATGCTACCGCTTGAGCCACATCCCCAGTCTGATGGTGGGTTTTTTAAACTACTGTTAGAATGCTATTATATGACAGAAGATAAGAGGCATAATGTCTAATCTGACCCCTAAAATGACTCAAATACATCAGCTTCTCTTCATCCGTTGCTAGCCATCTATAATATCATCTAAAATACTTTGTTATTGGTTGCTCAAATGGATCTTATTTGAAGAAAAGAGAATATTCTCCAAATCTAGCATAGTACTTGTTTTATAGTAAACCCAGGAAAAATGATGGCAAATCGTACAAATGAGTAATGAATTACTAAAATTTCACAGCAAAAACAGTAAGATTATGATTACAAAGAAATTTTATTAGATGGGAATAATTTATTCTACTTACGTTGCATAAGGCACCATAGCGAAGAATAGATAATAAAGAATGTACATGACTTTCACTGGTAAAATATAACCTGGTACGGACATGACGTTCAGGAGATAGAACACCTCTGGAATACCTAAATTTAGAAGTAGATGATGTTAAAACATAACCATATAATCAAAAACCAATTAAGTATCAACATTACTTTGTAAAATAGGATTAATCTTAATAGAAGTACAAAAATCCACGATAAATAAATCTATCATTCTCCCAACCACAATTAAGGAGTTATTTTGATATTTTTCCAACATGAAGATATTTGAAACTAATTACGTCTTCTGGGATTAGTCAAAGATCAAAATTAATATTAGTCAAGTTCACTCTATAGAGTCATTTTAGCAATGATAGAGATCACAGTCCTAAAGATGTTTATAGGCATTAATGCTGATGAACTCAGCTTTTTCTTCAAATTGGATTCAAAGAGAGTCTTAGTTGGAGGTTAATATTAGTAATAGGTAATATTACTTCCATAATATACCTGATACACTTCAGTGAATATCAAAAAGTAATTTAGATTTGAAGTATGCACAAATAGATGAATACAGATTTATTAAACGATCAGTCTTACACAGGATGGAGTTTATTTACAGTGTCATCATCTTGTGTCCTCTGAAGGTCTGAGCGAATTTTTCTAACTAGAGGAGTACAGTAACCTTTGGCAATCTCCAGTTTTTCAGCTTTAGTTATACCATATTCCTGAGCAGAAAATACATATTAGAAAAAGGGTACAGTGACAAAGAGCTACAAATGCATTCCCAAATTAAAGAATTCTACTGAAATATAAATGCTGTATTAAGGCTTTTATTATTTTTTTGCAGTAGAATTCAAATGATTTATGTATATACACATTAACACATACACAAGTATAACAAATGAAAAGAAATACAAAAATAATAAAAATGTTATTTTCATTAAAACTGACATTGGTTTAAAATGGGCTTCATTCAAACATATTTTTGAAAGATTTTTAAATTTATATTCTGTTTTCAGAAAAGAAAAAGAGAAATCCTGGAAATAGCCCCTGACTTTGTTTGTTTAACTTTGAAAAGAAGAAATTACTTTATGGTAATCCAAAAAATCCAACATACTTACCAAGTTTATTTTTATATATACAAATATAAGTTTATTTTTATATATAAAATATATTTTATATATATTATTACTTATAAAATTAAACTCAGGAAAAATATAAGTAGGATTTGTTACTTTTGGTACCTTAAATATATAGGAAACATTTAATATAATTAGGAAGCATTTTCTTCACTAAATGTACTGCTTGTTCATGCCCAGCATGTATTAAGCCTTTTATGAACATTAGACTCCTATTTCGCATTTTTTTTTGCACCTGCAAATATACTATTTTCAAAACATTAAGTATAATTAGAAGAACTTTGTGGTGGAACTAAAAAAGCAAGTAACTTCTAAAGAGAGAACAAGAAATAGATGAGTGCAATCTTTATGAATAGTATTCAATTTAATCAGAAGGTAAAAATGTAAAAATAACCCTAAAAGAAAGATGAACTGAGGTCAGAAAAACTAAAGAATAGTCATAAACATAAAAAGAAATATAATGATTAAAAAGGATAGCACATTCTTCAAAACCCCTTGGTAGGTATTCTTCAAGTTTTAACTAGTGGTGAACAAAAATGCTATGAAATATTCACATTTATGACATCTATAATCATTAAGAGTTAATCAGAATTACAAGGAATTGTTACAATGAGACATATCAAGAAAACATAGTTATTATAAAGTAATAACAATGACAATTACAGTTCAAGGTGGCAGGTTAGAAAAAACCCTTATATTAGAAAAGAAAAATTAGTTTTGTGTATGGATGGAAAGAGTGGAAGAAGGGGAGAGGTACAAAGTGGGGACAGAAGTGGAAAGCAAGAATATAAAAGAGGGAAGAAACACACATTTCTTCTCTCTCCAAGTTAAATTCTGGGATATATCAATTTAAATTATTTCCTGCTAAAAGATACCTCCATAAAGAGTCAGATAGCCACGGATCTGTATAGAAAACTAACGTCAAAACTTCCTAGTAAATGAAAATGGGGACCAATTACAGATGGAGTACCTATGAAAACAGAACTTCTTGGGCTCACTTATCATAAACTCAAGCTTATTTTCTTATATTCAGTCAATAATCTTGCCAATATAGATAACTGTGAATTAAGTATGTAAGAGGAAATACATACACATACACATGCGCGCACGTGCGCACATACACACACACACACACACGTGAATATGTGTATAAATAAAAAAATAATGGTAGAATAAAAAACTGGGAAAATTTAAAAAATATTTGTTTTAACAAAACATGAGGAAATACACACTGGTGGTATGGTAAAAAATGGGTTAAAAGGAGTTCTGAAACTAAAGAAATCATCTTAAGTACACAGTAATTTCGTAAAGAAATTAAAAGAATCAGTTTTCTAAGTCCAGCAACCTAGTTTAATAACTCACATTCACACTATTCAGCCATTAGGAATAATAATTTATATACAGCTTTATTTATTGATATGTAAAGAAGTTCCTGGTGCTAAATGAAAGTCAAGTTTATAAAACAGTATGCTTTCTTGGATCCAGTTTTGTAAAGAATTTATATATATGAGAAAAAATTACAAATGCATAAATTTTTAAGGAAAAAGGCCTTCGAGACTATTCTAAAACATCAACATGCTTCTCTCTAGCTGATGTTATTGTGATTTTTTGGCTATATATTCACTTTGTAGTTTTATGACACATATATTACTTTCATAATAAAATCTTTTTTTCAACACAGTGACATTTTGCTCATCTGCCATCATCCTTTAGACCCAAATAATTTAGATATCCAAATTCTCATATGCAGTTGCAATTTTTTCTGCCACAAATATAACTGACGAAGCTATTTATTTATTTTTGGTACTGATGATTTTTGATACTCCAATTTTTCTGAAAATTAGGACTGGTTAAAAGTGACATGCTAAATGTACTGTAGCATAAATACCTATAAGTAGTTTAATATTAAAATAACTAAAAGTAGTAGATCATATTTGTCACATAAGCCAAAATACAACTGGAATTACATAATTCACATAGCAGAGATGTAAAAATTGATTTAGGAGTAGAAATTGGTTTTATAGAGAACTAGTAGTGCTTTTAAAGTACACCAGAATGTGATCTAAGGTTTTTTTTTTTTTTTCCCACAGATAGTGATGCTTTGTTAATCTGCATTAGTTTTTTTAAACAAGTTAAAAACTTAAAATACATTTGCCCAAGTCAGAAAGTCTCAAAGTCTTAAGTATTAATTATTTCCTTGACAACACAAGTAAATTCTTTTTTTTCACTACAAATTCTATTATCATGACAAGTTATTACTATAAATATGATTTTAATTTTTAGTTATGTTCTTAATGGTTGCCATGCTTTAACTTTGTTCATGGTTTTTGGATTTCAAGGCTAAGTTAAAACAAAATAACATTTACTGAACTGAACCCAACATTCTATTTAAAAAAATAATAATAATTCTAAGTTTCTGCCACAATAAGGACTACCAAACTTAAAAAGTTAGAAAATGCCCATTTTCCTCCCCTCAATTTATAAAGTTAACTCAGAGCTCCAGGAAGTATATAAAAAGTACATCTGCTTTTAAAGTTATGAATTTACCAAAAATAGGACTGATTCCTGGACTTTTAAGTTCCAAGTTTTCAAAAATAAATATTCAAGAAAAATAATTTAGGAAATGTCTTCAAATAAATTCCAAGATGCTGTGAAAATCTAATCTAACTGCAGCAGAGAGAATAACTACAATAGAGATAGGGGAGAGCTAAACTTGAATAATTACTTTAAAAGACACAAATGATGGATCAAATCTTGTATAACCATACTAATCTTGGGTGTTTCTTTTAGTTACTGTTCCTAAAATTTCATTATGAATATTTAAGTTATAAGTACATGGTGAGAAATGTCTTCAACACTAGAAGTAATACATCTGAATGCATAAACAATGTAAAAATAGTTTATCACCTAAAACTCCATTGACACTTGGGTATTCTTTTTATATCCATCCCTTAGAAAACAATTTTTCATACTCAATTCTAAAATGTTGTACACATTTAACACAGACACAAAAATCCAGAGGGTCAAATTAAATAAGCTATATAATAACACAAACATGAATATGCTAATAATCAGATAAGAATTTGTTTATTTATTTAGCTACTGGGTACATAATACATTTAGATATATTGAATGCCTGCCTTGAAAAATGCATGTAGACAACATAAATGTTTTCAAAGGCCTTATATTTGCAGCTAATTGTTCAAAAGTATACTTTCGAATAATCCCCATTGTAAACATAAGTACAACTAAAACATTGAGCTATAACTAAAGTTAAAGCAACTCAAATCAATAAAAAAAAAAATCAGGGTCTTATTTATGCTTCCAGTGTAAACTCTGAATTACCAGTAATCATTTTTTTTTAATCTTTCATAGGAAAATCTGAATAAATACCTTGAATTACAAAATAAAGATAGATGCCAATTCAGAAGTTCAGTGTTAGCTTGATGATCATCTATCTTTACCTACAGTTAAAACTGCAGAATTGTGTGTGCACTTTCATGGTAATCTTCACATATCCTATGTTATAAAAATAAAACTTTGTATTCTATAAAATTTTTCTTTTGCAAATTAAAATGTTTTATTTTGACAATGAGAATGACAATAATTATAACAAAACTCTTTAAAGCTAATACATTTTCAGTTGTGAAAAATGATGGTAAATGAATGAATCCTGTTTTCTAAAGCAATTCCCAAAGACATAATCTTGATGTCCAAGATATTTTTACCCCTTTTTTAAATGGACTCATATTTTTGGTAATGGAAATTAAGCACAGGGCATGTGCATGTCAGGAAAGTGTTTTAACCACTGAGTGATACCTCCAGATGTAGGATTCATGTTTTTAGAACACTGATTCATACAATATTTCTGAAACTGTGTATGTTATACATCTGACCAAATATATGATCACTGAACAAACAAAATATTCACAAATAACTGTACAAATATCTGTAAGTAGATTGTATACTGCCTGAACTTCTAGTTGTTCAAAGTCTATTATTTATTTGGACTATTGGTGAATTTTAGGAAAGGGACACTAAGGACAGTGGCATTATTTAAAACATTTTTATATACTGGCATCCATAGTGAGGCTATTTGAACTTTTGTTATGGTTTATCATTTTCACATATTTTGTTTCTTCCTGCTTTTTTACTTTAGTTAAAGTTGGAATATCTGATCCACTCCAAGCTCTGCTTTATAATATCTAAATAACTTTCTTTGTAATTGAATTGGAAAGAAATCCTAAAGTGGCATCTGAAACTTTTTCTCTTCTAACATATTCTTTATTTTTTTCTTTTTTTAAAATTTTGAGACAGGGTCTGGCCTTCAACTTGTGATCCTCCTGGCTCAGTCTCCTGAGTAGTCAGGATTAAAGGCATACACCACTGCATCTGGCTCTTCTAACAAATTTTTGATTTCTATATGATTTGTCGCTTGCTCCTTTACTATTAATCTGCTTGATGGCATTTTAGTTATTTGAATTCTGGTTAGAACTTTAGTTTTATTCTCCTATAACAAAAAGACCCACATTCCTCAAAGCCTTATTTTCAAAAAAATTTTAACATAGAGTAAAAAGACTTGCAAAAAAATTTTTTTTGGGGGAAGGGGGTGTAGGGAAAGAGGACAGTACTAGAGGTTGGACCCAGAACCTTGTACAGGTAAGTCAAGCATTCTACCATTGAACTACATCCCCAGCTTGCAAATATATTTTTTTTTTCCCATTTTCCATTGTTTTCATAATAGAGTTGATAGGGGCACAACAGTTCTTCATAATTTGTTGAGTGATTTATTTATTCCATAACTTTTTTTCATTTGTTTTGTTTGTGAGCATATTATTGTTCTTCAGAGAATTGATTCTTAAATTTAAATTCTTAAAAGTCACTATATTCTTAGGACATAAAACTAATCTGTCTGATATTATACTTATGGAAACACACCACTACGCATTTGTAAAAACTTAGAATATATAAACCAGGACTGAATTCTATAAACCCTAGGTGATAATGATGTCACCTTAGGTTCATCAGTTGTAACAAGTGTGATGTTTATAATGGGAAGGGAGAGAGGGCTCTGTGTAGGAACAGACAATATATGGAAAATCTATGTATCATTCATTCAATTTTACTGTGAACTTACAACTGCTCTAATAAATAGGATACTTTTAAAAAAGTCATTACAATCAAATCAATGTTAGCAACTCTCAGATATTATGATTATAATAAACAATAAAAAGCCTTACAATATAAATTCATAATTATAAAGTTAATGGTTTTCTAGGGCCATGAAAACCAACTATGTTTTATCTATTGGTAGACTGTTTAAAAGCATCTATTTTATACAATAGTGTAAGAAAATATATTCTTGAGAACTACTTACCTGAGGGATAACAATGTCTGCTAATGCCTTTGAAAGCCTATATAATTCCATTGTATTTTCTAATTGCAAGGAACCATTATGCTGGACATCATATTTTATACAGTCATATATGTCAGGGATCTTACTAATATCATATCGTCCATTTTTTGTTTTAAAGTCTTTCTCCAACTTGGACCATCGACGTAACATAAGCTCCAATGTTTCACTATGGTAAAGCTGAATATCTAGAATAAAATATCATTTTTAGTATATTCAAACTTAAAAATCTGATAAAGAACATACATTAAAATATTAAAAACTTTAATTAGAAATACTGAAGTGAAAAAGAAAAATATAGGAAGTTAGGAAATATTATCATAGGCATAGGCCATTAATAGCCAATTTTTTGACTTGGATAAGTACTCGTTATAAATACTAGAAACTTTTTATAAAAGATCTTTCCATATATTACAGAATTCAATAATAATACAAAAAAAGAACAACAATTTTAACAAAACTATTTTTAGGTACAACATTTTCAATTCTGAATTTTAAGTACTATTATTTTTCTAGATTCAAATAATTAACAGAATAGGCAACTATCATTAGCAGATAAGAATCTTAGAAATTAAAAACGATTCAAATGACTCAATTGTATCAGTAAGAAATCCAAGATGTCAAAATCGTTAACCAAGCTAGCCTTGGAGTAAGGGCTCATATTATCTTGTTTGCTCTTTGTTCTCAGGGTGTATAGTCACTGCTTAATTATTGGGCAATGCTAAATAATTAATCAAATGAAAAATGTTTTATTGCCTTTTTCATGTTGTCATGGATAAAAGCAACCATAACTTAGCTATTGTCCTTTTGTCATATATATATATATTTAACCACATAATCATTATTAATAAATTAATATATATTTATAAGAATCTGTGCATCCTAATCTTGCACCAAAGACAGTTTAGTGATACATGATTTTTAAGTAATACTGGCACAATAGTTTGTAAAGCTTCACATAATGGTTACCATCACATTTTAAAAAAAATTGGCATAAAATCTGACAAATATGTGATAAAATATAGTATATATTAATATACATGTAAGTAGATCTCAGGAGAAAGCCTTGATTTTTTTTGAGGGTGGGTAGTAGGGATTGAACTCAAGGGCACTCAACCACTGGGCCACATCCCCAGCCTTATTTTGTATTTTATTTGGGGAGGAGGGTCTCACTGAGTTGCTTTGTGCTTTGCTTTTGCTAAGTCTGGCTTTAAACTTGCCTCAGCGTCCAAGATACTGATTACAGGTGTGTGCTACCGTGCCTGGCTTAATTTCTTAAAATAAGGAGATTGGTGCATTATTTTGAAATGTTTGCAGTAATTGGGCAACAAATTTTACTGTTCTATATTTTAAAAAAACATATTTACCTGATGATTTGGGGTCTTCCATACGATGTCTGATTTGAGAAGTCAAACTTTGAATCAAAGAATAAACTTTGTCACAGGTCTTCACAGGATTTTTAATTAAATGCATTGATTTGATAAGAGAAATGCTTCCAGATGGAGTAAGCTATATAAATGAGTAAAGTATATATTTTATATCTGTTTATGCCTAGTTATCTAAGAGAATGATATAGTAATAGGAAAATAATTCTATTTCATGAATTAAGATGACATGCAAAATATAGCCATAAGATCAAGAGGGGTGAAAAAGGCTAGAATTTCATGTTACAAAATCCTTAAACTCTAGGTATCATCCGATTAGTCATAAAGAAAATTTAGCAAAAGTATTCTTAACTCAAATGATGAGATTTGATGAGAATTTGCTGGTTTGTACAATACAGGCAAATATAGTTTCAACTACTTGACATAGATTTACATGTAATTACACTAAGATATTGTTATTATCAAGACCTTATTCTAGACAAGGTACTTAACTAGATTTAAAGCTATAAGTGATAACATAGTTCCAAATTCCAGTTTTGACATGTAGCGTAGCAACTTATTTAACCACAAGAAGTTTAAGTTTCTATCAAAATAAATAAATAGAAAATAGAAAAATCTACTTCTGGTTATAGTGGACTAGGAGGCTTAGACCAATCAAATTGATGACGGTAAGTAAAAATCCTGGGCAAAAAACTTCTACATCTTTGTTTTAAGACATCTGAGAGAAAATAGGTCACAAGGAATTGTAAAAACAAAACTCAGTGATAAGTGATACAGAAAGTAGGCCTGTCATTAAAGAATGTTTTTACACTGGAAATATCTGTTGATTTTAGAGAAAAACTAGACAAAACTATAATAACCTTATGGGACTAATAGGAGAAAACGGAGTCCAGGTTTGACCAAAGGTGGAACTCTGGTAATTTCCTTGCTTTTAGGGTACAAAAAAAGTGAGGGTGAACCAGAAGCAAATGAACTGACCAACAAATTGCAAACCAGCTTAGCCTCAACTGGCCTGGCCAGAAAGAACTGTTTTTAAAGTTGGTTTATGGCAATCCCAGACTGTTATGTGTAAAGGTTTAGCAGGAACAAATAAGAGACACCAGAAGAAGATAAAATAATTTCAATCTCAAGTTGTTTCCACAAACAAAGTATCAATCTACAACTAATGATACATATTCAAGGCACACAAGAAAACAAGATATCAGGAACACCCATCATCAGAACAGACAACAGAAACAGAACCAAACTCAGTTACTAGGATTAGAATTATTAAATACAACTAAAAAATAAGACTTCCTATGTTAAAGAAAATAAAACATTAAAAATCAAAGATCTGAAAATTTTTTGAAAAGCAAATAGAAATTCTAGGATGGAAAAACACAGTGATTAGTTTTAAATACTTTAAATGTAGTGAAAAATGGTAAACTTAAAGATAGGTTAGAATATTATACCCAGAAAAAGGACAGAGACAAAAGGATGAAATTTCCAAAACTAACAGAAGATATCAAGCCACATTTCCAATAAGTCTAACAAATCACTAAAAACACAAAAAGTAATCTATAAGGGCTGAGGAGATATAGCTTAGAGTAGCTGCCTAGCATATATGCAAAACACTGGGTTTATTACAGATAACCTCATGAGAAAAAAAAATGGTAACCTACATTTAGACATACACCAGAAAACTGCTGCAAACCATAGATAAAAATAAAATGTTAAAAGTACCCAGGAGGATTTGAAAACAACAAAAAAGATCATCTTCAAAGGTATAACAAAAAAACTAACATCTGACTTCTCACTTCTCAATATAAACATGGAGTGTTGGAGATAATGAAATAAAAACTTCAATGCACCAAAAGAAAATTATGTGCCATCCTAGAATTCTATATCCAATGAAAATGTTTACCAAGAGGAAAGTTGAAACAATGACATCTTCAGACAAACAATGCCCCCTGGGAATTCACAATAAGAGACTTACACTAATGGAATTACTATATTGTTTTTTCAAACTTAAGAAAAAGATCCAAAATTATAGCTCAGAAATTCAAGAAACAACGAAGAATAACTAAAAGGATAAATTAAACTTCTGGCAAATGGTGAAATAGAACATAGCATACACTTTCCTCCCACAAAAAAGGACCAAATATAAAGACTAAACAGTGGTTACTTGGCTAGAATATTTGGGGGAGAGCAATGAAGTGTAACGTAGATGCAATGGAGAAACTGCAACAGAATTATGATGGCCCTGTAAAGAAGGGAATAAAGTGTCTTGCATCACCCACTCAGCTGCCACAGTCTTAACTCTATGAACTTGGGAAAGTCTTCTCACTGATGAGGAAAAAAGTAAATAGGAGTCCACACTGACATTTGAAGTTTTTGCTACTGTGGAATCCTGCAGCCTCCAAAGGCCTTGATCTAGTTTGGGGTACATCTCCCCAACCGCAGGAGTGGCTTCGCTCCTGCAGGGCCTGCATATACTGAGCCATACTTGCAGGCCTGTTGGAGTAGTCCTACAGGACCCATAGTGACAGATAGGCATTTTCCCACTGCCATGCACACCATGTTATAAGAACAAGTGGACATGCAGTAGATTTCCGGACTGCTGCTGGATACAAAGTGCCATACTCACCATGGTGCTAAAAATGTCCAGTGCAATCCACAGGCTACCTGCCACCTCCCACCAAATGAATGACACCTAAATTAATCACAGCAGAAGAAGCTATATTACTGTACACAACTGAATCCAAAGCCAATCTAATATACCAAATGGACAGTATAAGATACTCTCAAGAGAAAATCTTTTACTCCAAAAGCTAGTTGATAAAATTGGAAGACAGAAAAGACAGGCCATATGTACAAATATCAACTTAAGGATAAAAGAAGTGTGAAAAAGAAAGTAATCTAATGCCTCCAAAGGAAGCACCAATCTCCAGAGAAAAGAAAACTGATGAAATGCCTGAGGAAAAAAAATCCGAAATAATCGTTCTAAGGACACTCAAAGAAATACCAAAATATAAATACAGACACGTTAACAAAATTAGAAAAACAGTGAATGATACGAATGAGAAATTTAGGAAAGGGAGAGAGATCACAAAAGAGAGTCAAACAAATCTTGGAGCTAAAGAATTCAGTGAGTAAAACCAAAACCAAAATAACAACAACAAAAAAACTATATACATACACACAGTTGGGAGCATTTATAACAGAATACATCAAACAGAACAAGGGATTTCTGAACTTGAAGACAAAGAAAAGAAAGGGGCGGGGGAGAGGGAAAGACCAGACAATGCCTTCAAGACTTATAAGATACCATTAAGTAAACAAATGTTTAAATTATAAGTATCTGATTAATATAGAAAGAGAAGGGAAAAAGCCTAGAAAATCTATTCATCAAAATAATGACTGAAGACTCCCCAAATCTTGGCAGATCTAGATTCAGGAGGCTCAAAAGACTCCAAATACAGTTGATCAAAAACCCTGTTTATTTCAAAGTCAAAAGTCCAAAGTGAACAGAGACTTCTAAAAACAAGAGTAAAGTGCTAATTCACATTTAAGAGAACTTCCATTAGTTTAGGAGATACAAAAAGAGAAAGAAAAAAAGGAATCAAACCATATCAGTACAGAAAACCACCAAACCAAACCACAAAAATAAACAAGAGAAGGGACAAAGTATATACAAGACAACCAGAAAATGCCACGAATAATTCATTATTTATCAATAATAACTTTGAATATAAAAATAAAACTACCCAGTTAAAAGACTTGATTGGCTGAATGGATAAAAAACAACAACCAGTGACATTGTATCTACAAGAAACTTACCTCATTGGTACAGACACATATAGACTGAAAATAAGAGAATAAAAAAAAAAATTCCATGCAAATGGAAACCAAAAGCGAGAAATAGCAGCTATATCAATATCAAATAAAATAGACTTTAGGTAAATACTACAAAAAGAAACAAGGAAGATCAGTATATAATAATTTTGGGCTCAATTCATAAAGATGATATAAAAATTATATAAGCGCCCAATTCTGGAGCACCCAATCATATAAAAGCAAATAGTACTAGATCTAAAGTGAGATATAGACTTTAATATAATAATATGTTATATTATTATAATATATATATATATATATATATAATCTCACTTTCATCAATGGATAAATCATCCAGACCAAAAGAAAAAAATAAAGCAAAACAAACACAACAACAACAACAAAACAACATCAGAACTGAACTATACTACAGATTAAATGGAAAGAATAGACATTAAAAATATTTTATTTAACAGCTATGGAATACATATTTTTCTCATCAGCACATAGAATATTCTCCAGGAAAGACCATATATGTTAGGCCACAAAATATCCCAACGAATTTCAATAAGTCAAAATGGTAGCATTTGGCTTCTTGGACCACACGGTACAGGACAGCAAATCTACATAAGGAATTTTAGAAACTGTACAAATACACAGAAACTAAACAACAAGCACCTGAATGAAAAATGGGTCATTCAAGGAATCCAAAAAAAAAACCAAAAACATTTCTTGAACAAATGAAAATGGAAACACAACATACCAAAACCCATGGTGCTATAGCAAAAGTAGTAGTAGAGAAGAATTTATAGAAATAAGTGCCTACATTAAAAAAAAAAAAAGAAAGAAAGAAAGAAAAGAAAGATTTCAAACAACCTAACAATGTAAATCAAGGAACTAGAAAAGCATGGAAAAACCAAATCCAAAATTAGCAGAAGTAAATAACAAAAATCAGAGCTGAAATAATAGACTACCAAAAATCAATCAACTCCTGCAAAGCTAAAAGATCAACAAAACCAAGTGTTAGTCTTTTTGAAAAGATACACAAAATCAACAAACCTTTTGCTAGTCTCATCAAGAAAAAAGAAAACCCAAATAAATAAAATAAGACATAAAAGGAGAAAGTATAATTCAGAGCACAGAAATACAAGGAATCATTAATGAATATCATGAACAACTATATGCCAACAAATGGGAAAAATAAAAAATGAATGGAAAATTCTAGACACATATAAACTATCAAAAATGAACCATAAAGGCACAGAAAACTTTAACAGCCCGATAACAAGTACAAAGACTGGAAAAAAT